AAAAATATTACTTCGCAATTGGTACCGCGATTTACGGTATAAAATATTTTCANAAAAAAAAAAAAGGACAAATTAAAATCGTTCATCGCGTATAAATAATAAACGAAAAAATCCAACGCGTATTCCAATCAATTCAATCGATCGATCGAATAAAAGATCGAAACGAAATTTCTTCTCAAGAGAAACGAACGGTGATCCACAAAAAAGGAAGAATGGAGAAGCGCGGTTTTACAAAGGTTTTACACCAGTTGCATCGTTGATCCGCGGGACGCGGCATCGTGAACCAATTCAAATTGGAAATTGGAATTGTACTCGCTCCGTGGAATTTACGTGCAAGCATCTGGCGGCGGCTTAATAAAGCTTCCGCGGCAGTGGTTTCGACCAGACTTAATTAGCTCTCGTGGCTCGTGCTCCTTCTCCCCTCCTCCCTTCGTCTTCCTCTCGTCTTGGACTCTCTCTCTCTCTTTCTATTACGAAGCAACAACACCGACACCGGTCGACTTTCCGGCTTCCGTTTCGAGTTCGCATCCACTCCCTCTCTCTTTCTCTTAATTGAAGACACCGCGATATTGGCGTACACCAAATCCAAAGTACGTCGCGAATTTTCTTAATCGAATCGTTCGAGGCGAACGAATTCTATTCTTCGATCTTTGTCTCCCCCTCCCTTCCTTCCCGATTAGATCCAACGTTTTAATATCCGCCCCGCGAGAGGTTTATACTTCTCCCCGCGTGGAGCGACAGCAGCAGTAAAATTAATTAGTTTCTGTAATTAAGCAAGCCGCAAACACGAGTCTCGTTCGAACCGGTCACAATCGAAAGCGTAGTATTTTATTAGCATCCGTATCGGGCGGAATTACCTCGGCTAGAAGAGGGAAGGAGGGGCTTCTTCTTTACGAGTTTCCTTTCGCGATGGATATTTAATCCGTGAAATAAAAAAAAAATAAGATAGGATAAAAATAACGAGAGAGGGATACGCGCGAAACAGTATGTAGCCATCTTGGGAGAGGAGTTTAAAGATAACTCGGCAGAAAATTTCTGATGGATTGAAATTTCCCCCCTCCCTCCTCTCCTCCTAAGATGTATCCGGCGCGATATGCTAATAAATGTCAACAGGGTCTCGGCATTCGATTTATTCGTCGTCTCGGAAGGTAATTTCCTGGCAAAGATTATTTCGATACGCTATCAATCAGTTGTCAGAAAGGGTGAGGAGGAGGAGGAGGGGGTGCATCGATGTCGAAGGCGAACAAGGTGATCCTTTTCATGCGCGCTTTCGTCCCCCGTGAAAGTTAGTAGGTAGTAATCTTGATGGAGGATATATATTGGTGGGGGACGACGAGAGGGGGAGAAATTTCTGTGTCGTTTAACGCGATCAGAAGTGGCTGTGATGATGCGACATCGGCGTCTCGAAATGGCTTCTTCGAATTATTGGACCATTTACGGAAGGGGCCCTTCCTTTGTAAGACGGCTCGCTCATGGATTTGTAAGAGGATTACCGTTACGCGAACCTCGGAGAGGGGATCCTCTCGTCGATGATCGCACGATTGATTCGAACTGTCGATAAGCAGGCGATCCCAAGGTTTACGACTTCTTCATTTTCGACGACATTCGTCGTTCTTGATCTCGATCTCGGTTAATCAAATTTCGAGTTAATCGTTCCTCCATCAACGTGACGCGAAGTTAACGCAGAAATTCCATCCAATTGCGATTTCTTGCAAGGAAAGTAACGTTTGTTGAGTAACACGAGATGCAATTGTTTTTAATTATTTATTTCTGGATGCAGGATCGATTTAAAACGTGTACATTTTTCGGTTCAGAAAATTTTTCCGTTCGAACGGTTCAATGTTATGTTTTTTTAAAGAGTAAAAATAAGTTTCGAATTCGTTCTTTACCAAGAATGAATATTAACGCGAAGTGTCGAGGTAGATTGTAAATTTAATTGCATGCAAATTTTATCGCGCGAAACAGCTCTATTTTTTTTCTTTCCCTTGGCGCAGCGTGGAACGGGAATGCAAATAGTTGTTTCGAACGATGTATCAACGATAATTATTCGATTATTCCGTCATCCGTGATATTAACAGGGATTAACGTGGACAAAACGGAAGTTCATCAGTGACGTGGACATGCATTTCCACGATAATATTAATATAGATGAGCAACGAGGAAAATCAGATGATAGTAACTGTTTATCGAATCGTTTTCGCGATATGCCTCGTTTCGATATTTTCATTAAATAACGATGATCGGGGGGTTGGGGGTGGGGATGCCGGAAGAGGATGGCGAATTGGAGCCGAGTTTACGTTTCATTTCGCCGTGGCCGTGGAACCAGGTCACGTTGAAACGTTTCGAAATTGTTACGTAAAATTGTTTCGCTTTTAAGAGCGCGCGCGGAAAAACTGCTTTCGAGATAAAGCGGAATGCGAGAGGAGGAAGAGAGAATATTATACGAAAAAAGAGAGAGAGAAAAAAAAAACAATGGATCTCCTTTCCCTTCCTTCAAAGAAATAATAATTATTCGATCGAATCTGCCTCTTTTTCGATCGATTCACCCGTCAAAATCTTAGAGATTCTTTCAACACTTTTTCCCTCCCCTCTTTTTATCTTCGCTCTCACGATTTTTTTTAATTTCGCACAAAAGTGTGAAACTGTTTCAGAAAATTTAAAACGAAATCTATCATTTATCGTCTCTTTTAATCGGATGATTCTGGATCCGGGCGGTTCCGCTTCATTTGTGCAATTTAAATCATTCCAGCGGGGAGGTATCCAGGCCGGCGTTTTCCACCACCGGTCGAATAACAAGGGGAAAAATCGTGACGGGAGGGTGGTTATATATTTGTCTGGCGGCGGTGCAATATTCACGGTTTACGTGCAATTTCTGGTTTCGTCAGGCGTGGCGAATCCAGTGGCAGCCAGGGGGAGGGGGCAGGGAAGGAGAGAAAGAGAGGGAAAAAAAGGGAAAAAATAGAAAAGGGAAAATAGGATTCCTTGCCGACGACGGTGAATTA